TCAATCAAAACGGTGGTCTCTAGGGATATTTTTGAATTCTCATGTAGTTTGATGTGTCATATGAGCATGTAGGTCCAAGTTTCACTTCTCCAGGGGTCCAAGGCAAACCAGCCCCAGGCTGAAAGCCTCCCTAATAAAGATAAATTAATTAATTAATTCTCCAGGGGTATCCAGAATATGTCCGGATCTGGCCAACGTGGTCTTCAGTACTTAATATGGTCACAAAAGTTCTTATTTTTTAATTCTCATATGATTTGATGTGTCGCATGCGGGTGTTGGTTCAAGAAGGATCTGACACTTCCTCGAGGGTACCCAGAACATGTCCGGATGCGGTCATCATTTTTCTGACTACTTACTTACTACCTTGGATGATTATTTGGTTCACGTCTTGAAGTTTATGGTTAGTTCAAAATTACAAAAAATGAATTTGAAAACATTGAGCACTTTTCAGGTTGCCACTCAACCGCACAGCGTTTTTTTTCCAAAATGTTGAAAAAAAACACGCGTTTTAGTACAATGCAATGCCGCGCTCATTGTGGGTTGTAAAACGGATTTCAGTGGATTGGACTAAAGGGTGATACGGTCAAAATTTGGTCAAGGGAAAACGCGTGTAAATCGGTGAAATCGTTTATTTAAAAAATCAAATTAAATTTCTTTTTCAAGTTCAATTAGTATAAAATTCAGGAAAAATATTCAGTTAGGCTTCCGCTTTTCCAAATCCGAATTGCCGGGCCTTACGCTTGACCCCTGCCATCAGATTTTGTACAGCCGTCCACCTTCTTCGCCGCAGAAAGCCAGTTTGCCTTAAACTGCTGCTCGCCCTTAGCAGTTTTTTTGGTCTTCTTTAGGTTCCGCTTGACAATAGCCCAGTATTTCTCAATTGGGCGGAGCTCTGGCGTGTTGGGAGGGTTCTTGTCCTTGGGAACCACCTGCACGTTGTTGGCGGCGTACCACTCCATGGCCTTTTTACCGTAATGGCAAGATGCCAAATCCGGCCAAAACAGTACGGAACAACCGTGTTTCTTCAGGAAAGGCAGCAGACGTTTATTCAAACACTCTTTCACGTAAATTTCTTGGTTGACAGTCCCGGAAGCTATGAAAATGCTGCTTTTCAAGCCACAGGTACAGATGGCTTGCCAAACCAGATATTTCTTTGCGAACTTTGACAGTTTCATGTGCTTGAAAACATCTGCTACCTTTCCCCTTCCTTTTGCCGTATAAAACTCCTGTCCCGGAAGCTGCTTGTAGTCGGCTTTGACGTAGGTTTCGTCGTCCATTACCACGCAGTCAAACTTCGTCAGCATCGTCGTGTACAGCCTCCGGGATCGCGCTTTGGCCGTCGTATTTTGTTTATCATCGCGATTTGGAGTCACTACCTTCTTGTAAGTCGATAGTCCGGCTCGTTTTTTGGCTCGATGCACAGTTGTAGACGATACACCCAGCTTATTTGCGGCATCTCGGAGAGAGAGGTTAGGGTTTCGCTTGAAACTACCGGCAACTCTCTTTGTCGTCTCAGCGGCTTCCGGTTTTCGATTTCCCCCCGATCCAGACTTCCTGGCTGTTGACAAACGTTCCCCAAACACTTTAATTACATTTGTAACGGTTGATTTGGCAACTTTTAGCGATTTTGCCAACTTTGCGTGCGAGTAGCTCGGATTTTCGCGATGCGCGAGCAAAATTTTGATACGCTGCTCTTCTTGCTTGGACGGCATTTTGACAACTGAAGAGTGAATTCCAAAATCAAAATAGGAGCAACATTCTACACACACACACCTTCAAAATGAGGGGTGTTCAGGTTTTTTAAATGCAAAATTGAAATAAATACGTCGAAATACGAAAAAAAAAAAGTTGATATTGACCAAATATGACCGTATCACCCTTTATATGCGCTTGCCGCTATGCCGCTATCATTGTGTTCAGTCCTTAATACACGCGTACATGCGCGTTGGAAAACTAAATATGCACAGTTGAGAGTTAGAGTGGTACATACGTCATTTTTTTTCCAGAAGATTCTCAATATTTATCTTGGAAGATCCCCATCGGATGTTTTTTCGACATCTTTTAGAACTTCCTTCAAAATTCCTCCACGAGATCTTCTTTATTCTTCATCTGGAAGTTTTGTCGGTACCATTAAGAGACTAATTCAAATATTTCCCAGAAATTTCTTCCGTCTTTCATGGAAAGTACTTACCTTACCAATCAGGCTAAGGCCTTGTTGTCCTCTGTTGTCCGAAGAAGTCGTCTCTACTCTACTCCGAGGGGCACGACTCTATCTACGATGAAGGAAAAAATGATTTTTGCTGTGGTTAGCTGCGCGCACGCTGAGTAGATAGTAAGAAGATTTATGACGATTCTGAAGATTTCTTGCAAAAAGATGATGCACGATGCAAGTAGATGCGAGAAATTAAAGAAGATTTTTCGAAGACTGATTAGCTAGTGTCAGATTTGTTGAGCACCTAGAATTGAGATTTAGATGTGTCGTCCCCCTCGCTCTACTCGATCCATGGCCACAGTTCGCCAGCCTCGTAGTCTGCGAAGGGTCCGCAGATCACCTTCTACTTGGTCGATCCACCTTGCCCGCTGCGCGCCTCTTCTTCTTGTTCCTGTTGAGTCGCTTTCTAGAACCATTTTCACTGGGTCGTCGTGCGGCATTCTTACGACGTGCCAGCCCACCGTAGTCACCCAATTTTTGCCATGTAGACGATGGATGGTTCTCCCAGCAGCTGGTGCAATTCGTGGTTCATTTGCCTCCTCCACGTTCCGTCATCCATCTGCACTCCACCGTAGAAAGTACGCAACACCTTCCGTTCGAAAACATCAAGGGCGCGTTGGTCCTCCACGAGCATAGTCCAGGTCTCGTGGCCGTAGAAGACCACCGGCTTAATCAGCGTCTTGTAGACAGTCAACTTCGTGCGGCGGCGAATTTTATTCGACCGGAGCGTCCTCCGGAGTCCAAAGTAGGCACGATTCCCTGCCATAATGCGTCTTTGAATTTCTCTGCTGGTATCATTTTCGGCGGTCACCAGTGAGCCCAACTACACAAACTCATCGACCACCTCGATTTCGTCACCGTCAATCTGAACTTGGGGTGGGAGGCTAACATTGTCTTCCCTTAGAACCTCTTTCATGGAAAGTACATCCTTCAATTAATCATGTTTTGTTGTTTTTGACATCATCCACATCCAGAGGGCCAGTCACTTCGAATGTATGTGAATGGTAGGAAACCATTTGGAAATGCATGAAAATTTTCAGTTTGTATTCATAATCGTCTTTATGGGCAGTTTTAAACGCACAAAAATTACATTACTATGCTGATAAGGTAAACACTGGTTTATTTGTTTTTTTTTTCTGTGAAAGCATGTTTAGTCCCAAATCGTGGATTTTCTGATATTCTACATACTGCAAAAATGATTTTCCTACCATTGAAGGGGCGACATCTCTCGGATTTTTAGTATAGCTACTTTTCAAATCATATAATTAATTTTAGTCCAAGAGTTTGAAAAAAAAAATTATTTAAAGTAGTGAATACCGATGAATACCGACTTTTTTTTTTCAATCATTTGATACCGATAATCATGAAAACAATCTGGCAACGCTGGTAGGAGTGCGGCAGCGGTACAGCGGTTAGTGCAATTTTAGTACATTACGCGTTTGCCGCTGTACCGCTATGTCGCTATAGGGAGCTGCACCGTCGGGTTAACCTCACTTTTTTGACATCTGGAAGTGGTGTGTTTACATGGACTTAGAAAAAAAAATTAAAAAATTTATTAAATGTCGAACAAAGTCGGATATCATATCTTATAATTCTTTTTATTTAAAACCTCAAATCCACTTGAATCGACTAACGAGCAAAGGTAAACAAACCACCACTGGATATCAAACTGATGAATGCGGGTTCATCGCATTCATTCGTGACGTCAACGTGCAGCTCCCTATGCTGCTGTCATTGTGTTCAGCGCTTAACACATGTCATCCAATGTTCAAATTATTGCTGTTATTGCGATAAAAAGATAACCCGAGTAATAATAGCACAGAATGCATAAGCCTTGCGAGCACTTCAAAGACATCCCAAAAATAATAATAATATAGGCCTACCATCACTTGCCCTATAAGACTGTATTTATTCTTTCACTCCCATGCCTATCAGCTTTCCATTCCTAAAAAAGCAAAGGGCCAAGCTTTCTCCGCCCTTCACATTGCTCATTTACCGTTAGGGGTCATGTTCTGTTTCTGTTTCTGGCTCTGGAACATCACCGAAAGCGGTTATTTTCGGTGGAGAAAGGTGTTTCACCATCCCAGAATGGCAGCGACCCACAGAAAAACGCAACGTGATTAACCAAAAAGTGGAGTCATTTATAACCTGAATTCCCACATGGAACACAAAATTTAAACCGAGAGCGGTGAATGGAGTTCATTGACTGTCACACCTGGACCCTACCTATCAACCCATCAACTCATGAACCGGGGACCAATGGCTTTACTTCCCTGATCAGAGATGTTATGCCTCAGAATACAAGAGAGGTAATCACGCTTCCCACTACACCACCGGCACCGCTTTTATTGACTATTGAAGGTTGCAAAAGATAATAATCACAGCCGTTTATTATGGATTGAGCAATTTCAGGTAAATAAATAAACAGAGTAAATCATTTTTATCGAGTTTTATTTTCATTTTTTTTATGATTTTTATGAACACCTTTTTATTGTGATGAAATGCATGATGAATGAAATGAGTTTTCTGCTGCAATTGAGCTGAGATTCTGAAATCGAATGAAGCTCAAAAATCTCTTTTCGAACGAATGAAATAATCGATGAATGATGATGAACTTAGCCTAGAGGATGTCTTAAAGCTAAAATTTTGACTGTTTCGAAAAAGCGCATTTTTTTTCCAGTGATTTTGAGTCCCAAAACGTGGCATAAATTGTCCCGCTCTCTTTGAGGTGGGATCGTCAGTCCGCTCTCGTCCCCTTCGCGAGGGTTTGAGTCATGATCACTCCCGCGCGAAAAGGAACCAAGAGCTACGTTTACGTATACGAAAATATCCTTGTTCCCTCCAACCAGGCGATCCAGGATTCCCTCGCAAAAATCGGGGAATCCGACCGCCCTTAAGCTTTTCCTACCAGCACCATTGTTGAGATTGTGTCATTGCTCACATTGCTACATCTAAATACTACGACTACGCCACTAAAATTGATCTAGTTCCAGGTCGGTTTTCCAAGAGTTCAGATTTCAGTTCTTCTTATCATCATCTTCATCTTCGAAGAAGTTTCCGGCAACGGAAGTTGCAGTCGGCGAGGCGAGAGCCAATCCATTCTTGCCGGCGATGGCAGTTCCAGTTGGGGCCGATGCGGCCACTCCTCCTCGTCCGGCGAGGGCAATTGCGATTGGTTTGACGGCCGCAACCGACGGTTCATCTGACTGGCGAAGCGAACCCATTTCCTCCTTCTGGTTCTCGTCGTCGGTGACCTGTGGCAGGTTTTGCTCGCTAGGTTCATCCGATTGCGAACGGCCCTGAGCGACCTCCGGTTCCGGTGCTGGTTCGTCATCCAACGAGCGAGCCCAGGTACGATCGATGGCTGGCACCTTGTCCGGATGCGAATCCAGCAGGTCGTTCTTCAGTTGCGCTGGAACTAGAGCTGGAACGGGGGCAATCGGGGCGATCGAGGATACGATCTGCGGTTGGAACTTGATTTGGCCGTCTTCGGCTTGGATCGAGTCCGAGTTGGATCGAGCGTGGATGGTCTGCAGTGGCTGAAGGCTGAAGATTGGGTTCAATGGGTTCTGCAGGGCGTCAAAGTTTCCGTAGAATTGAGGAGCTCCGGACAGGATGTAGTAGCGTTGGCCTTGCGGGTTGGATTGGACTTCGGCCTTGGATGGCAGCTGTTCGGCATCGGCTGGAGCCATGAAGATCTGATTCTTCATCATCGCAGCGTCCAAGAAATCAGCTTCGGCTGGAGCGGCTGGAGCGGCGGGAGCGACCGGAGCGGCCGGAGCGGCGGGTGCTTCGGGAGCCTCCGTAGCAGATTCGGCCGATTCGGCTGGTTTTTCGGTTGGTTGGAAGAAGTTTACGAAACCCTGCCACCACGGTTGCTCCTCCTGCTTGAGCGATACCAGCCGGATCGGTTTGTCATAGGTAATGTGGCTGCTCAGCGGGATCGATGGGTAGTAGTAGACCAGCTGCTGCTGCTTGGGTTCCAGCTTCAGATGTTGAATCGGTTGGATGAGATGCGGTTGAATCTTGAGGGTGGAGGGTTGCGGCTGCACCAGGTAGTACTGGGCCGGTTGGTGATGGATAATGGTGGTGGCCGGTGCCGACTGGCTTCCTGCGAAAGCTGCTGCCAGAAGAATCACTGACGATAGTCTGCCCATCTGTGGGCAGGTGGGAAACAGAAAGAAGAGGAAAATCATTATCAGAACGTGGTTGTTGAACTCTTCAGAATATGTGATGCAGAGAAGTCAAGCCGAACAATGCATTAGGTCCCAAGTTACATTGACAGTTTCTCTTCGTTGATTTTTTTTCTTCCATCCCCATGGCCATGTGAAGGAATTTCCAGCTATTTTCAACACACACTTTGATGGAAGAATTTATTATCTAGCATCTAACACGACCAACATGACAAGAAACGGTTTTAAAGCCATGTTATTAACGAAAGAAAGTCAATAAAGAGACGCGTTCCATGCTACTTGGGACCTTATGCATTGTTCGGCTAGATGTGACTAAACTGGTTTGGCGGAATGATGGTGGCCTAGGTCAAGAAATTGTGCAACAGCAGCTCTGTGCTGCAGCCGAACGGAGAAGCAGGCAACACGAGAAAACGAGTTTTTACTGCAAAACGATACTAGCTGGTTGATTGCGGACTGCCTGTTTTGGCCGCTCTTGGACTTGAACTTGAAATTGCAGCTTCAGTAGGGTAGAGTTGGAAATGATTGCTCATGAAATGGAATTCTGAACATTACTATAAACTTTCCTTGTTGCTCCACATGCCACAACCGGTTCCAAATGTTTTAAGCCACATGGCCATAATGGCATATTATCGATCAATATGGGAAAGATAGATCATCTTAACTGTCTGTTCGTATTAATTTTCTTCTTTTAGTTTATTTTCTGGAACATTGGTCATTGCACGGACGACGAAATCAACTCAACATTGAATTGAATTTGACTCAATTTGGCAAAAAGTGAATTTGCTCACAAAGCGAGTAAAACTTTCCGAGCTTTACCAGGAAAATCTTCTTGAATATGAGAAAAATTACGAAAATTTTACTCAGTCTTGGAGTATAGGCTGCTTCTATGCACCACCAATGTAGAGTGCGCTAGGCGATTATCAGAGGAAACGTCAACCAAACCGTTTGTTTACATCAAAATTTCAATTTTTACATCTCAAATTAACGCATATTAGTCCAATATTGCAGAGAATACAACGAGTCGTTCATCATTGGCTGTGATGCAAATACGCATCATATCTTGTGGGGTAGCACGGACATCAACAGTCGAGGTGAGTGCCTTTTGGAATTTCTCTCATCTTATAATGTAGACATATGCAACAAAGGAAATGAACCTACTTTTTCAAATGCCATTAGACAGGAAGTTTTAGACTTGACATTTTGCAACACTGCAATTTCTGAGAAGATTCGAAATTGGCGTGTGTCAGATGAAATCTCACTTTCTGATCATTAACACATTATGTTTGAATGGGGTGGAGGTGATTTACCACCTTCTGCATTCAGAGATCCTAGGAAAACAAACTGAGATCAATATGCTTAGATTACAAACGACGTAAAGATGGATTCAATCCAGCAATTTGAATCATTTTCTGAAAAGGTAAACGAAAGAATTATAAATTCCTACAACAGTAGGTGTCCTATCAAACGGTTGTCTTTTAACAGGGATGTGCCGTGTTGGAATTTGAAAATCACTTCTGATTGGACTCAATATAGGAAAACTCTATCTGAATGTAATAATGAAATACGGAAATCTAAGAGGCGGTCTTGGATTCAAGTGTGTGAAAATATAAACAGTACTCCTATAGTCACGAGATTACAGAAAACTCTTGCCAAAAACCATACAATTGAACTTGGTAATCTTAAATTTCATGATGGAGGTGTTACCAAATCTTCCTCTGAAACTTTAAATTTAATGATGGAAACACATTTTCCAGCTCCGGTATTGTGTGTGGAATCAGATAATTCTGATTCTGTTGGTGAAATGTGTTCTATAGAGACCTCGCCATCGCCAGTGTCTAAGAGAACAGAAAACACCATACCAGATATATGTAGCTGATGAAATTTTCACAATTGCCAGAGTGGAGAATGCTGTGAGATCTTTTCAGTCTTATAAATCTGCGGGTGTGGATGGCATATTCCCGGCACTACTTCAAAACAGTGAAGCAATGCTGATTCCGTCTCTAACTAAGATTTATAAGGCGAGTTTAAAATGAAGCTACATTCCATCAAAATGGAGATTGGTAAGAGTTATATTCATACCGAAAAACGGGAGGCGTGATAAAACACAGCCAAAAGCATTTAAGCCCATTAGTCTCTCATCAATTTAACTGAAGACTATGGAAAAGGTGTTCTTTATTCTTTATTCTTTATTCTTTATTGGGAGCAAGGAAAGCTCATTTGAGTGGAGCTTATAAAAGCTTTTTTTCTCAAATGTGCATAAAACCTCCTCATCTTTTCGCATCAACAGAACAGTACATTCAAAAAAAAAAAAAAAATCCAAATGATACATTATTAACTTAAGACTAAACAAAATACGACCTTATTCTATTTCTTACTACTACCTATAATTTACTAACTGAGCACTTCACGGAACCTATTTTTATGGTAACAATGGTTGAACACACGACACATACTACTAAAAGGCTGATTATAGCCATAATTAGTACGGAATGTTGATATACGCATAAATTGATGAGAACGGAGAGTACGACGACGAATATCAAAATTCAACTCACGTAACACTGTAGGACAATCTATGTTAGATTGAACAACATCAGATATGAAACAAGCCTTAGTGACATTCCTATGAACCTCCAGAAGGTCAAGGTCAATTAATTTACAACGATCTTCATATCTAAGGAGATTATATGGATCATTCCAAGACAAACGTCGAAGAGCAAAGCGAATAAACTTATGTTGGATAGTTTCTTCTTGCTGTACGCTGTTCTGATAGTAAGGAGCTCAGACCACAACTGCATACTCCAATGTAGAGCGAACCAAAGAACAATACAGGGTCTTCAAACAGTGAATATCCGATAATTCTTTTGCAGCATGAAAAATAAAGCCCAGGCATTTAGAAGCTATGGAAATTATATATCCTACATGATCTTTAAAAGTAAGTTTCGAATCTAAGAGAACACCCAAATCCTTAACAGTAGATTCTCTCTTTAGAGATATTCCGGCAATGGTGTTATCAAATGAAATGACAGAACGTTTACGTCCAAAGGAAATTACTGAGCATTTGTTGGCATTCAAGCTCAGACGATTAGTTGCGCACCATTTGGAAACAAGGTTAAGTTCTTTCTGAAGGAAATGTACATCTTCTTCACAGGTTATTACATAATAGAGTTTGAAGTCATCGGCATACGAGAGCTTAAAACATTTGAGCACTAGGTTGACGTCATTCAGGTACAGCAAGAATAACAATGGTCCAATATGACTGCCCTGTGGAACACCAGATGTGACATGGAATGGTTCTGATATAGTATAACCAATTTTGACCGACATTGAACGACCAACCAGATAAGAGTTTAGCCAATCTAGCAACGAACCAGAGAAACCAAGACGTTCAAGCTTTGCGATCAAGATTTCATGGTTGATTTTATCGAAAGCAGCTGAAAAATCAGTATAAATGGCATCGACCTGCTTGTGAGCTTCTATAGTCTTTATGATAAAGGACGTGTATGGAACCAGATTGGTGCAGGTGGATCTCTTCGGCATGAACCCATGTTGTGTCGCGGAAACGTAGTTGAGAAAAATGATGCTTGAGGAAGTCAAGGACAATCAGTTCAAATAGTTTAGACGCAGCACATAGTGCAGCGATTCCTCGGTAGTTTGAAGCCTCTCGTTTATCTCCTTTTTTGTACACGGGAAAAACGAATGATAGGTATCTTCCATGTTTTAGGAAAAGATCCGGATGAGAGCGAGCGGTTGAAAATAATAGCTAGAGGATGCGAGAGAGCAGAACTACACTTCTTCAAGATGATAGATGGTATGCCGTCCGGACCGGGGTTTGGTGAGCATTTCAACCGAGCGCAAGCTGATTCAACAGTTCGCTTTCAGCTGTGGACGGACACAGCAGCATTTGTTCTCGGTGTCGATAGTGCTATCGGCAGTCTGTTTTTCGACCAAGCTATTGTGTGTTGCGCACATTGTTTATCCGCAGTTAGCTAGCCGTGTGTGGCATCCTGTGGATAGAATCAAGAATGCATGGAGTTGAAGTTAAAAACACCGTCAAATTTAGCTTTGGCGATGGAGCTAGGAAACCGTCGATGGGCGAAATTATTAATTTCGCGAAGACTCTGGATGCGGATCCTATGCAGATGGAAGCTATATACAGGGTAGCGGAGGAGAAATCCTTGTTTATTAAATTCAAGGTCGAAGAGGCAATGTGTCAAACATTGATGAATAACAGCGAACAATTAACTTTCCGTTATGACGATGCAAAGGCAGTAGAGGTACACATGTTAAATGCGGATGAATACATTCAGTATGTCAGAGTGTACGATCTGCCTCCTGAAGTGCCTGACAAAAACCTAGGTGCTGGGGAAATACGGCAAGGTAAATCGTGTGGTTAGGGAGAAATTTCCTCCCGAGTTAGGTTTTGATATATACACTGGCATCCGCGGTGTATATATGGATGTTAAGAAGGAAATTCCTACATCACTGCATTTCCTCAACCGTAAAGGAAACGTGTTCTATCCCGGGAACAAGAATGTGTGCTTTGTTTGCAAGATTGAGGGGCACCAGATGAATTCTTGCCCAAAGCGGAAACCTCGCAGGAAGCTTGAAAAATAACAAACGACGGATACGGAAAACCGTGACCCGGACGAAGCCCAAAGTGTTAGCAGCGTGGATACCTGTACATCATATGCGGGTGTTTTAGCCGGCGATGCTTCAGCGGATGCTATTGAGGTGTTCGATGAAGAAGTTATGGTAATCGATGAGACGACCCCGGACATGGAAGAAGAACAAGAAGCAGCAAGAGGAAGTCAGCTTGAGACCGAAAGCCATTCTTGATCGCGAAGAAATTGAAAACTGCTATTGAAAACGGAAGAAAGAAGAAAACTGCGGCCGCGAGAGAAAGTTAACACCAAACAACCGGCTTCTAGGAAAAAATGAACTAATGTTATAAACTCTTTTAT